CACACACACACTCTCTCTCTCTCTCTCTCTCTCTCTCTCTCACACACACACACACACACACACACACACACACACACACACACACACACACACATGGTAGCCTGGAAATTACTGAGGCATGCAGCGATACCGAGTTGCGGAGTGTGTTGTGGATGATTCTATAGCAATGCAATGGATTCCGTCAAAACTGCAAAGCCACAGACTCAGAATCCGAAGAAGAAAGAAGTCGTCTGCATAGGGCGTAAGACAACAACAGCACTATTAGGCTGGGACCCTTGCGGTAGAGTCATACAAGCACTTAAGACAGTGCACGCAAAGTCTGTCGGCACGACCCTCAGTGCAAGAATTCGTAGTTTGCTTCTGGGTGGGGTTCTGGGCCGCCCGGCGGACCGGCGGGGAACCTGGGGGTGTCCCGGGCGGCCTGGACGGGCAGTGCACCCGGTCGGTCCCCGGCCCCCCCCAGCGCACAGGGTATTTTGGGGTTTTTCGACCCCATTTCGAACGCTGGTGGGCTCCCGCAGACCTACAGGGTCCGACCGGCCCGAAAACCCGTGGCATCGGGCCCGATAGGCCTGCGGGAGTGGGTTTCTTGATCGACGGCCACAGAGTCGTCGCAAGTTTCCCACCCAGATTCGAATGGCGGCGATCTTGGCCGCAGACTGTCCGTGGGTGTTCGCTCGAGCTGCCCCCTTCGACCCGCAGCCTTTCGAAGTTGCGCCGTCCGTGGTTGTTCGCTGGAGCTGCCCCCTTCGCCCGTCATTCGTCGTCGCCGTTCGCAGGAGCTCGTCTTCCTCGCCCGCCGCTCGTCGTCCTCGTCAGCTGGAGCCGGTCGTCGTCGCCCATCGCCGTTTGCAGGAGCTGCCCCCTTCGCCCGTCGCCGTTCGCAGGAGCTGCCCCCTTCGCCCGTCGCCGTTCGCAGGAGCTTCCGCCATTCTTCTTCTTCTTCTTCTTCTTATGCTTGTGTTCCGTGGATGTTGGTTATAGGTCGCGCGAGACTCGGAAGGTAAGAAAAACAGAAGGGAGGCCGTCAGGCACGTCGAGCCTTCCCCTCGTCTTCTTCTTCTTCTTCTTCTTCTTCTTCTTCTTCCCCCACAATCTTTCTTCTTCTTCTTCGTCTTCCCCTTTGTCCCCCCCTCCTCTTCTTCTCCTTCTTCTTGTTGCATCAGTCGACCTTCGGCAGTTAACGGCGATCTTTTTCTTCTTCGGCCTTTTGGCTGTTTGGGGCAGGGCACATCTTCGGCGACCTTAGGCAGTTGTCGCGAACGGCGAACAGAAAAAAAAAGGCAGTCCACCTCCCCCTCCTCCGGTCCTCTTCTTCTTCTTCTTCTTCTTCTTCTTCTTCATCCTTCTTCTTCCTCCTCCTCCTTCCTCCTCCTTCCTCCTCCTCCTTCCTTCTTCTTCTTCTTCCTTCTTCCTCCTCCTCCATTCGTCAATCAATCAATCTTCCCCCCCCTCCTCCTTCTTCCTTCTTCTTTTCTTCTTCTTCTTCTTCTTCTTCTTCTTCTTCCTTCTTCTTCTTCTTCCTCCTCCTTCCTCCTCCTTCCTTCTTCTTCCTTCTTCCTCCTCCTTCATTCGTCAATCAATCAATCTTCCCCCCCCTCCTTCATCCCTTCATTCGTCAATCAATCTTCACCCTCCTTCTTCCCCCTTCTTCTTCTTCTTCTCGTCAGTGTTCTTCTTCTTGTTCTTCTTGTCAGTCTTCTTCAATCTATGTCAGTCTAAGTGTCGTCAACATGCATGCAGCAGACATCACGGCAGCAGGCAACAAACACGCAGAGCCCCCAACACTGCACATATCAGATGACCTGCATTCAGCATTCAGCAGGCAACATGCATGCAGAGCCCCCCCCCCAACCCAAAATTTTGTTGCAGATTCGGGGTCCTCTCGCCGAGCGCAGAAAGACCCTGCCTTCAGAAAAAAAAAATAAAAAATTCTCGGGTGTTTTTCGGCCCGCCCGGTTTGCCCGGGCGGCCCCCCCGGGCACGCCCGGCCGGGCGCCGTCCTCACCCAGGTTTGCTTTCGATTGGTTGAGGTTTTGGGCACCCCACCCTGTCGAGCGTCTACCTCTTGCAATGAAGATCACACATTCTACATCAATACATATCGTGGAAAACCAGAAATCTCCGAGTTCGGCGAACCTTTCCAATCATTCCTTGTTTCCACTAAGGTTTAACAAATCCAGCTCAGGGGATTTCATGCTAGTCTCGTAATGTTATGCGTAGTGACCGTGGTCCACTTGTGGTCTGTCCTACGCCCTGCCTTTCAAAAGGGCGAATGACGAGAACCACGTATCTTTTAGGCTCCAAAGGAGCCCAGTTCCTGAGTCCTCTTGAGGCTACATACCTCCTTCAACCTCTCCATCGCTAAAGCCTTTTCCGAAGCCACATGTATAAGTCGTGATCGCAATTCGCGTGCCTCCGTTCCAAGCACCGCTTTTTCTCCGTGGACATCTCCCGCGCGCTGAGAAGACATAGGAACAGGAAAAGGACAAGCACACAGATGATTAGCTTCTTGCAATGCGCGGCAGTTGAAGTGCCGCATGCAGGATCGCTTATCGACCATGCACAGCTCACAACAATTTGGACCTGGCTCAAAAGGAAACCATAAGAAAAAGGGGTGCGCTGTGACCGTTGTTGGAAATAACTCATCGGTACGATTGGCAGCTATTTCGCTAGACCTTTGCATGGCAAGTTCGAGGCCATGACCCCTTCCTGTTGGTGCGGTTGGGGTTGGGCTTCAGGGGTGCCCATGGAGACCACCGTTTTTCGGAGCTGAGCCCGGCGAAGTTTCAAATTCGTTGGGGTTAGGCTTCTGAGGTACCCACGGAGGCCACCGTTTTTCGGAACTCAGCCCAGCAAACCTTCAAATTTGTTGACCTCAGGGTTGTTTTGGCGTCTACAGCCTATGCCTACTGTCGGTGCGCCTACCAGTCGGGCCGAACCATAGGCGGACCCGTTGGCGATCGGCAGACTGCCTACTTTTTTGTTAATTACATGGTCGTGTGCGGCTTGAGGACAGCAGCTGAAATCCGCAATACATTTTTTGGGGGGTGGTGGGGGTTATAGGGGGAGGTATAGGGGGTAAA